GTGAGTGCAGGGCTGGAGTGCCAACACTGACTCTCCTCAGGCCGGATCCAGGCAAGCCAGAGGCCACATCCAGCCCCTGGGCCTTAAGTTCCCCACTCCTGTTATATAGCTTTAGTACATGGCAGAAACCCCTTGTTCCCAAACTCAGTTTGTGGAAAAACACTGACAACCCATGATGGAGTCCAGGGACCCACACACTGGTCTAATGACCTTGTGGAATCATAGCAGCTGTTACTCCAGACAGCCTGAGAGGCTATGTCTAGACTGCAGGCTTCTTTCGAAAGAGCAATCCGCTTTTTCGAAAGAGAGCACCCAACGAGTCTGGATGCTCTCTTTCGAGGAAGCCCTATTTACATTGAAGAACGCCTTCTTTCGAAAGAGGAACTTTCGAAAGAAGACGTTCTTCCTCGTGAAACGAGGTTTACCGCCATCGAAAGAAAAGCCGCGGTCTTTCGAAATAATTTCGAAAGAACGCGGCTTGAGTCTGGACGCAGGGGAAGTTTTTTCGGGAAAAGGCTACTTTTCCCAAAAAAACCCCTGAGTCTGGACACAGCCTAAGTGTTCTCAGGAAGACTCTCCAGGTGGGAAATCGGCTTCTCTTAGTGCTTACTGTTTTCCCTAGTGGCCAATTACCCTGAATAGGCGATCCCAACCAGCTACATAACCTAAAAGCATCTTGCATAGTGGGAATCACCCAGCTGTAACTACATTTGAAATAGGAATATTGATTATATATCTAACTTTAGAATTATCCTGTTTGTATGCCTCTATCACTTTTGTATCTATTCAGCAAATTATGAAACTTTTCCAGTAACACCTCCTGACCATCTTGCACAAAATGCACGTAATTATGCCATAATCATATAGCACTGTGAAGACTATTGGGTGCAGTGTCAGAATGGAGATTTCCAAAAGACTTGGGTCATATCGACTCTCTAATTTCCACAGGAGATAAACTGAATGTAACTGAGGGTCACTGGAAAAGATGCTTGGTGCATCTTCTATCTGGATCCCGGCATGCTGGCTTTGATCTCGTAGTGGATATTTGTTAATATCGAAAGAAAGAAGAGTTTTCCTTTCCTTCTGCACCCAGTAGTGTGTGGTGGAGGTAGGGAGGAAAGAATGCCTAAATATAGGTTTCTCTTTACACCCACATGTGATTTTTGGTCAAGAAAAAAAATATTTCTTGTCCACCTTTCCTCTCCAAGACAGAAAATCTAGCAACAGCCACCGCATTGATAGAGCGGTTTCAACAAAAAAGAATGTGGGAGTGGGATTCGGCTTTGTTTGGAATACTGCAACAAAATGAACTGAGCCACTTGTCACAAAATGAACTGAGCCACTTGTCCCTCTGCTCTTTCCATCCACAGCCAATGCTGACAGTCACATACCAGTATAAGTTGTTACTTCCAGAGAAAGTCTAAACAGCAGAAAGCAAGGAAGCCGGGAAGTACAGGCAGTCCCCGGGTTATGTACAAGATAGGGACTGTAGGTTTGTTCTTAAGTTGAATCTGTATGTAAGTCGGAACTGGCATCCAGATTCAGCCGCTGCTGAAACTGATCAGCGGCTGATTCCAGGAAGCCCACATACCAGTATAAGTTGTTACTTCCAGAGAAAGTCTAAACAGCAGAAAGCAAGGAAGCCGGGAAGTACAGGCAGTCCCCGGGTTATGTACAAGATAGGGACTGTAGGTTTGTTCTTAAGTTGAATCTGTATGTAAGTCGGAACTGGCATCCAGATTCAGCCGCTGCTGAAACTGATCAGCGGCTGATTCCAGGAAGCCCGGGGGAGGGGCTTCCTGTAGTCAGCCACTGGTCAGTTTCAGCAGCGGCTGACCTGGGGGCGCCCTGGGCGCAACGGCCTGG